CAGTCTTGAATCAAAGGAGATCTTGTAAGAAAATACTAGATAAATGAGAGGGCAAATTTTTGGGTACAACAGCTTGGAACAAAGGGTTGACATTAGCACTTATGGCTGGGAACAAAGAGTTGACATCAACACTTATGGCTGGGGACAAAGGGTTGACATCAGCACTTATGGATGAGAACAACTCAACTCTATTGAGGTAAAGTCCAATGAGGATAAAGAGATAAATGTCGACCACGAATCACGGTGTACTACCGGCTCAAGAATGAAGGTATAAAAAAGTAGAACAATACCTACTTTTATTGAATGTAAGGAAAAAGAAGATACACCGACGTTTACTGAAGGTGAACTACCAACTTTCACTGAAGGTAGAGATCAAAGGATACACCAACTTTAACTGAAGGTGAACTACCAACTTTCACTGAAGGTAGGATCTGCATTAACAATAACGATTTCCCCAAAGTTCTTGCGTTCCACCTAGAACGGGTCTCAACTCCTTCTTTTATCAAGGTATTCCATTTGGAAAGGGTAATAAACGTTACCGACTTCTGGATTTCACCGAGAACGATAAGAGTTTCTTCTTTAATTAAGATATCACTTGAAAAGGGTAACAAATTGTTGTAAGAATCTTACAATAGATTGTCTTTATCATTGGAGTAAAGTCAACCTCAACAACGAATTAATCTCTCATAATGTAGAGACTACCATCCATCAGATTAAAAAAATATTCTTTGGCATTAACAAACTTACTGGGGAATTATAGGTTTCTCAAATAAATAGAGTGTCACTTGATGTTACGAAAAGGATTGACATAACACTGTTGATAAATGAATCTTGATTTCATGGGGAAATACCAACACATTCCTACTGAGAGGATAAAGTCTTCACGTGAAAAATAAATGCACATTCTCAATCCAATGCTCACATCCTATAGGGATCAAAATAATATTGTTGTCGGGACTAAAAATTCAAACTTGGAACAAACCGATGTGAAACAGTCAACCAAGACACCATCTAATGAGGGATAAACTCAAATGAGGATCAAATTCCATCTAGATAATGAGTTGGGTAGGAAGGCTAAAGCAAAATTCTTCTACAAGGGATAACTCAGTGGGGAAATTGGAAGGATATACACTTTCTGCTTAAAGTTGACACTCTATTGGAGAGAGAATAACATAACTCTACAAAGAGGATAATATGCCAACAAAACATGAATGAAAATGAGCAATGAATCTAAATTCAGTTGTGCATGATGTATGTATGAATGTTATCATGTACATACTGACAAAACAGACATATTAAACTGGGAATAACTAGACAAAACCAACTTGGGTAAGGATAACACTTGGCTAAATCATATATAGGATGAAGATTCCATAAGAGAGTGAGCACCAACTGAGGAAACACAGTCCTACTTCAAGGCTTAACTTCATCGGGAAGAAACATGGCTTGAAAAAATAATCAAATCAAAATTTGATAGCAATAAACCAATATAGTTGCAGGGATATAACACCCTCCTCCAGGCTTCACCAGGGAATATCATACAAACTTCGCTAGGGAATACAATGCCACATCATCTAGACTTTAACTGAGGATTCCATACTGACTTCACTAGGGAAGATGAAACCACGCGCACAGAGTGGAGCCTAAAAACAATATGTAATATCAAGGGTAGTGGTTGCACAAACTTCACTGGGGATAAATTATGAAATTTCACGGGGATAACAACTTTAGAGGGAAGTATCATCCTTGATTCATCTGAGCAATTAAGAGGTTAAAATCACAATAAGAAGTCTAAATTATGGGGATTTTAAATAAAACTCAACACTTGGCGAGAGAAAACCCAAAAAGTTGACAGTTGTTTCAATACTTCTTAGAAAACGATATTGTTTTTGTCTGGCTACTTGGGAAGCACATAACAATAAAAATGTCATAACTGGAGGGAGCAATGCTCTTCAAGGGATTCCACATTAATTCTCAACACAAAGGAAGAAAGAATCCAAGCAACAAAGAAAATACTACATAATTTTTCAATCTCTGCCTGATTATCACCTGGCTTGAGAAAGAATCATACTCAGCTAGAGAAACCTGAATCAAGACTTAGCTGGGAAAAAAGGGATTACAAAACCAACACCACACCATATATCAACTGGTATGAAATCCAACAATCCAAGGAAAAAAATCACAAGTGGACTACGCGCATATCAGCAAGAGTAACCCGAGAAACTTCTTGGGGGGAAATTATGAAACTTAAGAGTTCGTCCATCCTTAGAACCAATACTTTTGTCCCACTTGAATCACATAATTAAGGTAAAAGTAATTTGCAAATTATTTTCAAAAACATGTTTTTATTATTAAGTCTTTTTGTTTTGAAAATTACTATCAATAATAAATGAAATTTTCGTAAACAAAATAAAATAAGAACTAAAAAGAATTGGATAAAGGCTCAAAATTTATTAATAGAATGATAGTCCGCGAATGGCGAGTCTCCATAGATGATTACAAATTTTTGGAAAATGGTAAATACATGGAAAAGATACATTAAAAAACAATGACCATTATTCTCCCTAACAAATTTAAACTCCTAAGTAGAGGCTTCAGTTGAAGTGTGATGAGAATCCGAGAAGATCGTTGCTTCAATGATCAAGTCTTGTTTGACACAGTTACTTACCAGGAAATCTCTAACTTTTTCCTAGGTTTCCCTTGTGGGTTTTCAACCTACCGGGACCTTTTATTCTGTTTATGTCTCTAACTTTTTCCTAGACCGCCCTTACGGGTTTTCAGTCTACTGAGATGCTCTTTTTTTTCCTAAGCCTCCCTTTCAGGTTTTCAATTTAGTGAGCTACTCTTTTATTTATTTAGACAAAGTATTTCTTGACTACATCAGCATTCATAAGACATGGGAACTCCTCACTATCCATAGTTTCAAGAATCAATGCACCGCCAGAGAAGGCTTTCTTGACAACATATGGGCCTTCATAATTAGGAGTCCACTTGCCACTGGAATCAGCGTTAAAAGACATGATCTTTCTAAGCCTGAGGTCGCCTTCTCTAAATTCAGGAGGGTTGACCTTCTTATCAAAAATTATTTATTCATTCTTTTCTGATATAATTGACCGTGACACAAGGCTGTCATTCTCTTTTCTTCAATCAAATTCAACTGATCAAACCTGTTATGGACCCATTCAACATCTGACAACTCAGTTTCCATTATTACACACAAAGATGGAATCTCAACCTCAACGGGAAGAAATGCTTCCATACCATATACAACAGAGAATGGGGTTGCCCCAGTTGAAGTGCGGATGGATGTACGATACCCATGCAAAGCAAAAGGCAGCATCTCATGCCAATCCTTATAGGTAACAACCATCTTCTAGATGATCTTCTTAATGTTTTTATTAGCAGCTTCAACAACCCTATTCATCTTAGGCATGTAAGGAGACTAATTGTGATGGACAATCTTGAATTCTTCACAAATTTCTGTCATCATCTTGTTATTCAAATTTGAGTCGTTATCAGTAATAATCCTACTTGGCACACCATAACGACATATAAGATTGTTCTTGATAAAGCATACTACCACCTGCTGGGTGACATTAGCATAAGAAGCTACTTCCACCCACTTGGTGAAGTAGCAAATTTCCACGAAGATGAAACGATGCCCATTCGACGCCCTGGGTTCAATCATTCCAATTATATCAATACTCCACATAGAAAAATTCTACGGGGAAGAAATAACATTGAGAAACGTTGGAGACACATGAATCTTGTCAGCATAAATCTGACATTTATGGCAGTTCTTAAAAAGTTAGGACCTTTTGAAAAATGAAGCAATCAACAATAAAAAGTTTTTCTACAGTGTGTCCAAAAGTCTATGTAGCTAGCATTCCAATTGTTATCTTACCAACTAGTTCAATAATACTTCTGAAACTACTGATACCAATAACATGTTCTAATATAAATTTTTCTACAGTTAGATAATCACTTATTTGCTATCAGCATACGTCTCATAAACTAAAAATAGGTGAATCTATAGCCACTGATGTTCAAATACTCTCATAATTTTTCTACAGTTAGATAATCACTTATCTGCTACCAGCCTTCTAATATGCATTTAAATGTTAAAAAATTTGAGAATTTTCAAGATCAAGTCCTAACTTAGAACATTTGACCAAACTTATAAAAGTGGTTTTATGATGTGTTTCATTAGATAAATGTATAAAATTAATTTACATTGTATATTAAATAATTTTTTCTTATTTCATTATTGAATGAATTAATTTTTATTTTATTATTGAATGAATTAAAATGGTATTATCGAATATTAATATTATGGAAGATTGACATAAATATAGATAGAGAAAATCCACATCACTAAATTAAATATACAGAGATGGTTTTAACAAATAAGTGTATTCCTTTAAAAAAAAGTGTATTAAAAAATTATGTTTAAATAAAATTTTTATTTGAGCTAGCCAAAATAATATATAACCTCCATAATCAACAAGATAAAAGATTTAACCTCTATAAACATTGATAAATAAGATAAAAGATTTAACCTCCATAATCATAGATAAACAAGATAAATGATTTAAACTTCATAATTGATAATTATATTTCGACTTTAATCACTAACACATCTGAATCTTTACTCTTTCCGATGATATCGATAATTACTCCACTTTATTTCTGACAAACATTTATAAATACTGCAATATGTTTAAACAAAATTAAAATTTAATAAATAAAATATTTATGAGCTAGAATAAAAGTAAGAATGTAATGTTTTGTTGAGATATTTTGAACTACATAAATAAATCTATTTTGTAAACATTTAAATAAAGTGTGAATAAATTAAAATTTTGAAAAATAAAATAAAATTCGAAAGTATTACTTTTTTTAAAATAAAATAATCCGTGATTTGTGTAGGAGGGGTTAGATACTATTTTAAAAAAAGGACTAATGCTTCTGAAACCCTAGTGTAGTGAATTCCAATTTCAATGGCTTCGAGAAGAAAGAATCGAATTTCACCTTCAACACCAGAGGTCATCGACCTCGATTCTTTCCGCTCATACGGCAAGCGAAGCATCTCCCTCGTCATCGACCTTTCTGATGAAGAAGACGACATTAAGATCCTCGATTTCATTCCCAAGCATACTCCGGTAAGAAAACGTAAGAGAAATTTCGAAAAAGGCGAGTCTTCAAATTCAAGTAACATTCCATTCGCTTGCGAAATCTGCACAGAAACTAAAACAATGAAGGAAGCATTCTACATCAGCGGCGGATGCTCTCATGCCTATTGCTCTGAATGCGTGGCTAATTACATCGGTTTCAAGCTTGAAGATAACATCGTAAACATCTCATGTCCAGTTCCCGAATGCAAAGCTACTTTAGAAGCGCAGTTTTGCCGTTCAATTCTTCCGGCCGAGGTTTTTGAAAAGTGGAGTAAAGCATTGTGCGAGGCTTTGTTTAATGTTTCACAGAAATTCTATTGTCCCTTTGCAGACTGTTCGGCTCTTCTGATTAATGATGAAACGGAGGCAGTTACAAATTCGGAATGCCCTAACTGTAATAGAATGTTCTGTGCACAATGTAAGGTTCCTTGGCATGATGGAATGGAATGCAGCGAGTTCCAGAAGCTGAACGCGGGCGAGAGGGAGAAAGAAGATATTATGTTGATGCGCCTTGCACAGAATATGCACTGGAAGCGATGCCCTAAGTGCAAAATTTATGTTGCAAAAATATCGGGCTGCAATGACGTGATATGCAGGTGTCATGCTTTTGTGATTTCGTCAACTAGCTATCAATCAACCTTTGTATTTTAGGTGTATGTTCATGCTAATTTTACCTAGATAGATATTTTAAAATTTTAACTTTAACTGTAGGTGTCGATGTAGTTTTTGTTACAATTGTGGAGGTGCCTACACTGCTAGCGGCTGCAATTGTAAGAAATTCAGTAATGAGGAGGAAGAGGAGGAGGAGGTATAACAGGAGGAAGAGGAGGAGGTCTATGAAGAGCAGAAAGAGAATGACAACTACGACGACATATACTGAAACAGTATGCTAGTTTAAAAATTTCAGTATTAGATTAGAACATGTGACTTAACGACAAATGATTTATCATTAGAACTTGAATAGGCGTGTAAATCTCAAATTCTTTCTAAAGAATTTTCTGTTAAAAGTAGAAACACCAATAACTTATTTTGAATTCAGCTGCAAGCCAAAGACTTTTAATATTATATTCAGAAATGCTAACCAAATCACCTTGTGAGAATTGTTCTTTGAAGTCAATTCAAATATCTACTGCATTTCCTAAAAACGTAATTGACTGTGCAAAATCTTAGATATATTATTTAATAGTAGCTGTTTTTATATAGTTAATCAATTTTGTTAAAGTTTTTATTACGAACAATTAAGAATTTTTTTGCGTGTAAGTTTTTTTATACTCATTGAAAAGTTATAAATATTATATTATAATTTTTATTAGATAAATTATATTGCATAAATGAAAGAAAAATGCAAAGTAAAAGATTGGTGGGGAGGGGGGCAAGAACTAAACCCATCAATCTTTTATCATGAATGCAAAAACTTGCATTTGATATACTATTAGCATAATTATTGTCTTGGATACCTTGAAACGGAATTGATCTAATGGTATAAAAACATTTTTTCTATTTTGATAGAAGTTTTCAATTGTTGTGTTTATGGTAAATGTGAGATACCTTGAAACGGAATGATTTAATGGTATGAAAATATATTTTCTATTTTGATAGAAGCTTTCAAGAAACAATGTTAGTATTAGTGAATGCTCGTAGGTCAAAAAGGTAATCATTTTCTAAGAAAAGTTGATTCCACCCTCTCATTAAGCATGTTTTATAGCTAGAATAATACAATAAATTCAATTTGAAAAGATATCATGATACTTAGAATTGATGAGAATACCCTAAGTAAGTGCCTAATTCTTGTAAGTACAAAAGTAAGTGTATTTTTATTGTCTTCATAGAGATTAGTTGTGTTTTAAAGATTGTTTGATAGTTTATATAATTTTAAGAATATTTTATCATATGTTTGATTTCTTTGTGAATATAGAAAGTAAAATAACACAAAGTACAACGAATTTTGGGGTCCAACAATTGAGAAAACAAATAGGGTTAAATTTCATCGACCTATTCTCATGTAACATCTTTGATCAGCAATATGCAATTCTAATAAATTATTAATATTACTTCTCTTAGCTCTCATTGTAACTCATGTTTGAGTCAACGACATGAGATCATTCATATTATCTAATAGACAATCTCTCATCCAATAAACCAATACGACAAAATTAAGTTTTAACTATTCATATGAATACAAAACCTAAATATATGTCTAGACTTTAGTATATTTAATAGTTGAAAAGCTTAGATCTAGTAATGACTTTATACCTTTTTCATATCAAGTCATACCATAAAAATATGTTTTAGTTAGCTAATAAAAAATAAGCCTTAAGAACGAAAAATTCGTCAATATTAAAGTTTAAGAAGAATTAGATAGAACGATATGATCGATATTGAAACATAAGTACTAGGATGACTTCATTTGATCACAACAAAATAGAAAACTTGATACGCTTACTCATCGTAGGTTTACAATTAATCTCTAGAAGAAAGATATTAAGGAGCAACTGTTGTTGAGACCTCGCCAGAGCTTCTGCCAACAACCTTCATCTCTTTTCCTCTCATGTTGTGTCCAAAATGAATCCAACCTCCTAACAAGAGAACTACCAAATTCTATCAAATTACACCAATCTAATCTAAAATGAATAGACTGAATTCTTATTTATAATGTCTTGGCCTATCATTCTTGTTAAGCGAGGTTAACATTTTTCTTAGCATGCCTACAAGGTTCCTCATTAAGAAATGACAGGTCATAAGTGATCTTGGTCGTCTTAACCTCGTTTAGCATGCCTCCAGCTTTCTTAGCGAGAAAACCCTTCATTTTCTTTGAAGTAACTTATCCTTAAAGCTTTCTAAACCACCATATCTCACTTAGCGCTCCTGCTAGTGAGTTTTTGTGTCTGGATGTGGTTTTCTTGGTTTTTTGTGGCCTATTTCAAGCTTAGTGAGGTATTGTCCTTGGTTATGCGAACCTTGATGTCTAAATGGTGTATTTTGTTTATTTTTGGTGCTTTCTTGGTCCTTTTTTCATATACTTGGTAAATACAATGTTAAAAAGTTTATACTGGCATTTTATCATACTTTCGTGATAAATTTAGGTTTTTCATTGATTTCTTATAAAATTAGTTAACTAGTGTCTATGTATTTTGTGTGTTTTTGGCACTTATCAACTTTCTCCAACTTATATTTTTGTTTGTCCTCAAACAAAATCAATGCCAATGGCTCAGAAAATTTTCTATTATACAGAGATCATGAAAGGTCTTAAGATAACAAATAACATCTCTCACCCTAAACTAGTAGCCTATTTATAATAAACCTAACATATTAAACTAATGGGTTTTTTTACAAATATCCATTATAAGCTAACTTAGGGTACAAGCTAACTTAAACAAATGGACATAATAAATAGGCCCAATTTGACATGCTAACAACCCCAACATTTTCGACATCTACATACTAGAACACATTGCGACTACATCATGTAGGTCTTCGACAACAGCATGTGAGCAAACTTCGACGACATGATAAACTTTGTCGAACTGTTGAAACCAAGATTCTACCTTCTACCATACTAGATTTCGATTCCAATATCTCACAAATATCCACCTTGGAACAAACTCTATAACATCAAATAACAAACTAGCTTTCTTTATGCAGCTTTATCAATGACATACAGTGGAAAAACTTGCAACTTGGCAATGTCTTGGTGATCATATCAGCAACATTGTGATCTGTCGAAACTTTCATCACATGGACTTCTCCATGCTTGATTACCCCTATGACGAAATGCAACCTCACATCGATGTGCTTGGTTCGCTCATGATCGGTTGAGTTCTTCGACAACTGTATTGCACTTTGACTATCACATTTAACAGTGATAACTCGACCTTGAAGTTTCAGCTCCTTAGCAAAACCTTCAAGCCACAAATCTTCTTTCACAGCTTCAGTGAGGGAAATATATTATGCTTCAGTGGTTGATAAGGCAACAACCTTCAGAAGTGTCATTTTACAGCTGATTGTTGTGCCAAACATAGTGAAAACATATCCAGAAATAGATTTTTTATACAACCTGCATAATCAGATTCGACATACCCTTTGATTACTGCTTTACTATCTTCACCTAAGACTCCATCATAAATTAGGGCTTTGTTCATAGACCCATTTATGTACCTTAGAATCCACTTCAATGTTTGTCAGTGAGTCTTTCCAGAATTTTCCATGTAACTGCTTACCAGACTTACTGCATATGATATGTCGGGTCTAGTATAGACCATATCATACATCAAAGAACCTACTATGTTAGCATATGAGATGATATTCATAAAAGATCTTTTGACCTCGGTACTGGGACACTGATCTATACTCAGCTTGAATTGAGGGTTTATTAGAGTCACAATAGGCTTTGAATTCGACATACCAAACTTGTCGAGAATCTTCTGTAGGTGTAACATCCTTCTAAACCCTAAGGAAATATTTGCAATTAAAATATATACATAGATCAGAGTAATGCACCAAAAAGAGTGTCACATCTTCATACAAACAATCATATAATAAATCAAGACATCCTGCTCCATAACACGGGTTTTCAAAATCAATTATGTCAAATACTTCATGGGCAACAACCATAGTTTTTCAATTAACTCGCAGCGAAAATTCATGATTCAAACATCTTTATTTAAAATACTTCAAAACATTTTCATCAAACAAAACAACTCAAATACCACAAGAGTAGTTCAAATCTCAAAGGAAACAAGATGACGTAGTCATTTCATAAACAACAATCTCATCCCCGATGTTACATATCTGATCAAGACCTTCTAAAATCTACAGAAATAGACAAATCACTCTGACGGCTATTCTCTAAGCTCCGACAGACTATTCCTGATCATCTGCGTGTTATTCACGTGGAGGCAACATTCAAACATAAAGGGTGAGTAAATTACAGTCATTATAAAAGACATAAGGAGTAAACATAGTAGGTATAATACAACATCAAAGAAACACCATGTGTTATACTCACACCTTCACAATGCCATAGTACTTATCAGATACATAATATTCTTATCAATTAGAAATAATCACAAAACACACATTCACAAGGCATCATTCAATCCAACCATCATGCAATGCAACATATAATGCAATTCAACTTCATTAGAATCATGCATGTTGTGCCAAAACTTCACTGATGACACAATCATCGTTTCTCCAAAGATCTCCACCAATAGGATCGATTCCCACTAGGAACCGGAGCACATCACAATTTGCACTCAATCTATACTATGGGATTGTGGCCATCACTGGACTATTCTTCCTACAAAATTCACTAGAACAATGTCTTGCAATCATCATTGGGACATTCCCTAACAAATGCTATGAATGCATGATGCGAAACACCTCAATGAACAACATGACCACGACTAGTCAAAATGCACCATCATTCATTCCTTTACCATAACATAAATACATATATATATTAATACATCGTATTATCACAAAAATCATCATATCATCACATCAACAACATAACATCAACAAAGTATCAATAATTCCTTGTATATGCACACATCATATCAAAATAATCATCGAATCATCCTATTCATCAAAGACTGTGTACTGGACAAGCACATCTTATGACTCTTTAATTTCCCCCAAGGTATAGATCATCGCGTCAACTTTCTAACACTTCAAATGAAGCGTTAATCGGAGTCTTGAAAATCAAGTTATAACATTTTTAAAATACTATTGTTGTCCATCGCAAAAGGCTCGTTGTTGTACCCCAAAATTTGCCCTCTCATTTCACAAGGGATCACCCTGGATCCTCAAGTT